TTATCCAAAATAACTAAATCAGCCTATTATAGTGCTATAAACATCATACCAATGTTTATAGCAGCACAAGCCACAATAGCCAAGTTATGTAACCAACATAGGTGCCTACTAACAAACAAATGGATAAAGAAAATGTACATACACAATGGAGTTGTACTCAGTCAAAAAGAAGAAGGAAATTATGTCATTTGCAGGTAAATGGATAGAACTGCAGAACATCATGAAATAAACCAGACTCAGAAAGGGCCAAATGTTTTCTCTGATATGTTGAAGCTAGAGAGAAAAAGGGAATAAAAAGGGGGGAAATCTCACGAAAATAGAAGGGCAATCAGTAAATAGAAATAAGGGGATGAAGGGGCAGGGAGGACAGGAGGGAAAGGGAAGAACAAGGAAATGAAGTTGACTAAATTATGCTAGATGCATGTAAGAATATACCACAATTCATTCCAATTTTATATATAACTATAATACATCAACTTAAAAAGTAAATAAATAGAAAGATGATCAAAAGAGTAGCAGAAGGAGATGGGTGGAGGGAAGGGGGTAGTACTGAGGATTGAAACGGAGAAAACTATCTTATATGCATTCATGAATATGTCAAAATGAACTCCACTATTACATCTGACTATAATACATACATTAATTTTTTTAAATTAAAAAAATTGAAAAATTTAAAGGGAAAGAAAAATACCTGGCAATACCAAATATTTGCAAGGAACTCTTATTCGTTGCTGGTAGAAATGCAAAATAGTATGGCCAATTAGAACAACAATTTGGCAATTTTTTACAAAGTCAAATACAATCTTACCATACCAGCCAGCAATCGCACTCCTAGGTATTTATCCAATTGAGCTGAAAACTTATGCCCACACAAAATCTACACACAAATGTTTATAGCAGCTTTACTATAATAGCCAAGTCCTGGAAGCAGCCAGGATGTCAATAGGTAAATGGATAAGCAAACTATATTCCATACAATGGAATATTGTTCAGTGACAAAGAAATGAAATCTTGAGTCATGAAAAGACCTGAAGAAAACTTAAATGCATATTTCAATGAAAGAAGCTCTTCTTCAAAGGCTATATACATATTATATGATTCCAATAAGATGCAATTTTGGAAAAGGAAAAGCTACAGAGATAGTAAAAAGATCAGTGGGCCAAGTGTAGTGGTATACACCTGTAATCCCAGCTACTCAGGAGGCTGATGCAGGAGGACTGCAAGTTCAAAGCCAGCCTCGGCAACTTAACAAAATAAAAAATCAGCAGAGCACGGTGGTTGCACACCTATAATCCCAGCAGCTCAGGAGGCTGAGATATGAGGATCAAGAGTTCAAAGCCAGCCTCAGCAACTCTGCAAGGCCCTAAGCAACTCAGTGAGACCTTGTCTCTAAATAACATACAAAAAAGGGCTGGGGATGTGGCTCAGTAGTTAAGCATCTTTGGGTTCAATCCCTGGTACAAAAATAAATAAATAAATAAAAGAGTTGGGGTGTAGCTCAGTGTTAGAGCACTTGCCTAACATGTGGGAAGTCCTGGCGTTCAATCCCCAGTACATCAAAAAGTTATATTTAGGTGAAGTTATATTTTAGGTCAGAGAACCTATTCTGCATGGTACTGTAATAATGGATACATGACATGCATTTATAAAAATCCAGAGAACTGTAAATGAACTTTAGTTAATAACAATGTATCAATATTGGTTCCTTAATTATAAAAAACATACCACACTAATGCATGACATTAATAGGGGAAGCTGCCAGTGGAGGAAGTATATGGAAACTCTGAACTATCTGCTCAATTCTGTAAATCTACAACTGTACTAAAAAATAAAGTTCAGAATTTAAAAAAAAAGTGAAGATTAAAGAAGGACACTCTAGGGACTGGGGTTGTGGCTCAGTGATAAGAGCACTTGCCTCCCACGTGTGAGGCCCTGGGTTCAATCCTCAGCACCACATATAAACAAACAAATAAAATAAAGGTATTGTGTCCATGTACAACTAAAAAAAATATTCTAAAGAAGGCTACTCTAAAGTTAAATAAGTTAATCTACCACATTAGTTATTTCCTAGATAATTAAAGAATTGACATATTTTCTATACTAAATTCTGATAAAAGTGCTAAGAAGAAACTCAACTATCACTAGTTAAACTATTATGTATGGTGGAGACATGAAGACTGAGGCTTCTCTCTCACAACAAAGTTCAAATGAACTTCACACTAAATTAACTGAAAAAACCATTACTCCTCTGTAGTTGTCTGTGGACTATTGTCCTTGGTCTGTTATCTGACCTAAGAAGTACTGAGACAAACCCATTAGGATTAGAAATATGACATATAAAGATGCTCCCTGACATTTGTTAATCCATTTGGCAAACATTTTTTGAGCACCAACAATGATTTCACTTATTAGCTTACTCAGTTCTGACAATAACCCTGCTAAGTACATATTCGTTTTATTCTAGTCATGTTATGCATGAGGATCTGTGAAGCTAAAGAGCTTGTCTAAGATCATTTGGCCACTGAATAGTGAAGGCCAGTAACCCAGGGTATTATTAGGTCAGAGAACCTATTCTGCATGTTACTGTAATAATGAATACATGACATGCATTTATAATTATAAATATTTTTTTTAAAGATGCCACTTTTGGCCTTTAGTGTGGCCTTTTTTATGCATTTATAATTATATGCATTTATAATTTATAATTTACATGCATTTATATTTATAAATATTTTTTAAAGATGCCACTTTTTTGCCACTGCTCTCCTTGGGCTGTTTGTTTCCTCCAAATCACACTTCCTTTTTTTTTTTTAAAAAGGCCACTCTGAAGTCTGACTCCTAATTATTAAGAGTCATCTAACTTGTATATGGTACATCAGATAATCTAGACTCAAATCTTAGTTATATCAGTTATTTGCTATCACTTATTAGTTTTCCAGCACGTGTATAAAACAATGAAAATAAGAGTGTCTCACTGGATTGCTCTGAGAAATGCCATAAAATTCATGAAAATGCTTTAAAAGTTACTAAAATATTTTCATATTCTTACCATTTCATGTCATGTCCTGTATGATATTAAATGTTTTATATTACAAATTGATTATTTTTAGCACAGTCCTAGCTACTGAATTGTTCTCTGATCTTATGATGGAAATTTTAGAAGGATAACTTTTGCAGTCTACCGAAGCTTAGGTAGCACCCAAAAATCCTGTAGATACATTGGTGTATTTATTCCCCCCTACCAACTTTTTACATAGGACAGTAGCATCCCATGCACATTTTTTAAAAATATATTTTTAGTTGTTGACAGACCTTTATTTTATTTATTTGTATGTGGCGCTGAGAATCGAACCCAGTGCCTCACACATGCTAGGCAAGCGCTCCACCACTGAGCCACAACCCCAGTGCCCCCCAATGCATATTTTTAACTGTACCATTTTTCTACTTAACATAGAGTAAATAAACAAAAAATTGAGAGAGAATGTGTAGGACAGTATGTATTTGCAGCTGCGTAATATTTCATGGTGTGCATTAAATGTTATTTAATGGTACCCTTTTCTAATCTTCTCTTTATGTGTCACTGGCAAAGTGTTACATCCCTAGCCCCATCTTCCTCACAAGGTTTGTGATTTTTATTGTCCAATTTTGCTAAATTCAGTGATTTTTATGGACAAATACACCCTTTTATACCAGAACTGTAAAAATCAAATGACAATATCCTCTCCAAATACATCTATTAACTATTAGAAAAATTCAAAGCTTGATAAATCAGCAATACAAACCAATAAGATTTCAACCAGTTTTCACTGTTTAAAAACTGCAAACTAAGAAGTTAAAAGAAATTAATTTCAAATGTTAAGAAAATAATGTGGGAAGATGTTTTCAGTTGTTACACTTTTGTTTTCTGGAGTTTTTAATGAATAGAAGATAGTTCTTAAGAAAAAGAACACAGTCATTTCCCAAGGAATAAGGCAGTAATTTATGGAACCAAACTACTCAGCATGCATAACCTGCTCTCCTTGGGCTGTTTGTTTCCTCCAAATCACACAAAAATACCAATTTCAATTCAGTTTTCATCCATTCCCCTTGCACAAGGTATCTTTTCTTCTTGGTCTCATCAAATCATTTATTCCCCTCACCAACTCCATTCTTCACTGCTCCCTATTCCTCTGAGTTCCTACAGCACTGATTTTTGTTCAATTACATAGTTTTAGTTTCATACTATTTGTTCATTTCATTCTTATCCCTTGAATGTGCAAGCTCCTCAAGGGGGAAAAAAATCTTCCTAATATTTTGAAATCCACACAGAGCTTATTAGCATGTGGATCAGAGTAAGTGCTCAAGAAGTTTTTGCTGCTAGGTAACAAACAAGACAAAATTACAGGTACCAAAATATCTTCTGGTTTTCTTAGTTAGAACTCCACCACCTCTGGTATTTCAATGTCTTTGAAGAAGCTAAAATTTTAACTTGGCTCTGCTGAAAATATTTATGGTTGCTAAGGAAATAAAATCTGTTCAATCTGCACTCCAATATTTTATCACGACAAAGGCCAAACAAGAAATTCTTGTTATTACACGAAACATTTTTATAAGTAGGCATTTGCATATTATGAAATATATGTAAGCAATTTTATTTTGAAGCACTTTATCATAATGCCAAATTATCCCAGTGGTTTTTAAAGCTTTCTTTTGGTAGCAGAAAAAATTTTTTTTTCTTTTTCCAAACAAAAAGCATAGTAGAATTCTACCATATGGAAAAAAACAAAAAACATATCTTGCTAATGTGGTGGGAGAGGGCTGTAGTCTGCCTGCTTGGGTCCCTTTCAAACCATCTGTTCTCTGCCTCCATTCCCCAAATGCATTGGCCCCTTCTGGCATCTCTGAGAACCACACAGTGCTGAGAAACATTCATGGAATAATCAGCAAACTGCCAAGAACAGAAAAACAATTCTTAATTTTTTAAAAATTACTAATCAGTAAAATATAAAATTAAAACTTACCCATTTCTACTGAAAACTCTTAGCCATGCTTTGATGTTTGGTCCTAACAAACATAAACAAGGTACGGTAGTAAAAGTAGACAAAAGAATCGCAAATGAAAATGTTTCCAACACCAACCTAAAACAAACAAACAAACAAAACTTCATTAATTTCTTAAAAAGTGTTAAAGATACACATATACACACATACAAAATCTTTATCACATGAACAGATTTAATATAAAAATATTTTCTGATATTTTGAAAAGTTACATGAGTCCCATCAAAATGACTATAAATAATCTTACTGCTAAAATACAAACTTTAAAAGCCAATCTAGGAAATATCTAGTTTTAATGATAAATTTCAAAAATGTGAAAAACCCTAAGATTCATACTGAAACTTCCATTTCTGGATGTTAGCTTTCTTCCTCAACAGTCTCTAGAATTTTCTCTACAACCAATGATTCAACTCTTATTTCTAGTCTGTGCTGGATCAGACAAATGCTATCATGTCTGATGACAGAGATCTTGTCCTCTCTCTAAAAAAGAATAAATCTGTTAGTTTAATATATATATAAACCGAGTGCAGTGGCACATGCCTGTAATCCCAGCAACTCAGGAGGCTGAAGCAGGAGGATAGAAAGTTCAAAGCCAGCCTCAGCAAAAGTGAGGCACTAAACAACTCTGTGAGACCCTGTCTCTAAATAAAACACAAAACAGGGCTGGAAATGTGGCTCAGTGGTCAGGTGCCCCTGAGTTCAATCCCTGGTACTGCCTCCCCTCCAAAATATGTATATATACAGTTATATATATAAATATATATATATAACTGTATACATGGTTATAGATGTGTGTATATGTATGAGTGTATATATATATAAAGTAATTTCATCATGATCATTAATCACTGCTAAACTAAAGTTTTCCAAACTGTAATAAACATTATGTAAGAAATATTTATTAGTCTCCACTGATTTGAAATTGGTTAGTTTTGAAAAAGTATTGAGTTTAATTTGACCTATAAATATTAGCTTATTAACTATTTTAATATAAAAATTTATTGACTTTCCTTAGGAAAACAAACTCTTTCAACTAATTCAGAATCACATTTGTTAAGAACTGATATGTTATAACTAACTTACACATATATGACAGTGAGTTCCCTTAGAGGTCTAAAAGAGACACATTAGCATATTAATACTAATTAGTGTTTTAAATATACATACACACACAGTTCCTCACCTGCCCTCCCTCCTCCCAACATGTATTTAGCATATTAATTAGCATATTAATACTAATTAGTGCTTTAAATATACATACACACACAGTTCCTCACCTGCCCTCCCTCCTCCCAACATGTATTTGGGCAACAGAAGGCTAAATAATAGAAGCATTTAATGAACGAAGTTATGAATTGTTATTCTACTTTTTTAAAAAAACAGTAGAATACAGTGCTAAAGAAGAAAAATTATGTTTTCTCCTGCCTTGATTCATTAATCACACCACAGTTTTTCTATTATTGCCAGCAGAGTTAACATATTGTTTAGGTTTTTTAAAATATGAAGTTAAAAGTAAAAATTTCAAACTTACTCTATTAGTGGTGCTCCATATAGAACAAAAATCACATGAAAGGAAAAGCAAGACATAAGAAAATAGATACAACATTTCAAGATTCTGGTTACCTAAAAAAGAAATGAATAATTTGAAGACTGATAAAGGATAAATTCTTCCATTTTATCTACAAATACAACTTTTTCCCATAATGTGTGAAATAGCTTAATGTTCTAAAAGGTAAATGCCATGCACACCCACATTCTACCCACCCATGAGTCAAATGGATTTCTGTTTCTATAATATGTATTGAGCTATGCTATTAATCCATATTTATGAAATACTTGTTGATAACAGAGTGCTAGAATATAAAATACACACAGTACTTGTTATATAATAATACATGAAATCACTGCAGAAAATAACTTTTTGTTTTTTAATTTTAAAACAAAACTCCTGGGACAACTGCAACACAAAAACAAAATACTATATAATTTTCTAAGCCACTTTCATATTACTGTATGAATCATATGAAAAAAGACCTGAACATCTACAAATAGCACACGTAGGACCCACTTGATTTGGAACTTAAGAAGGTATAATTATAAAATACACATTAAGCTTTTAAAACCATATGGCAGTAAAGATGTTAAATTAAATTAACTAATAGAGCTTATATATGATATTGAATGTTAAGTGAGAACTTTATTAAAGTAATAGTCAAAATAGTGAATATTCCAGAAAATTGATCCTAATATCTGAAAACTGTTTAGTCAAGGAAGACCATGTTTGAAACAACAGTTACCACAGTGAATTCTTCTGTAATTTTTGAAAAGCCCACTTTCTTTCAGAAATGTAAAAGTAAATGAAAATGAACTGCAATGTCTTAAAAAATAAGGTTTCAAGGCAGCCATATGTACTTATCTTCAATGGTGATGTAAAACAATGGATTATACAAGCTCACAGTGATATAATATCCACTGAAGAAGTCATAATTTCACAATGAATACACAGTAAGGATCTATCAAACATAGTGGGTACAGCAAGCAACAAGCTACTGATTTGAAAAAAAAAATCAGATTTCTTTACATGCCAACGAGGACAAATACTTTATTCTTTCATTAAAAGAAACACAACTTCCATCCAAAACTTGCTTAAGAAGTAAGCCTTACCTTATGTGATAATGAATTTCTTTTAGAAGATATATTTGGTTTCACTACCAAATATAATACTAGATTGACAGCAGTTACAAAAACAGAACAGATGCACAACCACATCAAGTGTGTTTCCAATATTGAGAAGTTCTCCAAGAATACTGATGGAATGAAGATGCTTAGGATAATTGAAAATATGCATAAAAGATGGGCATACAGTAGTCTCTTGATATCTGTATCTTTCATGGTGTTTTCCTTGGTGGCTATCTAATAAAAAACGAATTAAGAAATATTTAATATTTAAGAAAAACATGTAAATGATTTTCCCATTGTTCTAAATGTTTCAACCTCCAAAATAAGCAATGAGCTATTTACTGTGTTTAAATACATATATTTAAATTACAGAGAGCTTATGTATTATATTGACTAGTATTAAGTGAGGACTTTATATTAAGTATTTGTCAATAGGTTACACTGTGGTGAACATCCCAGAAAAAAAAAAAAAAAGCATCCCGGAAAAACCTGGGATTTGTCCTAATGGTTCTCATTTAATTCACACAAATCATTTTTCAAAGGTGCATACTTTACTGATAAGGAAACAGGATGAACTAGTTAGGTGCCAGATACAAGGTTTCACATGCTAGTCATTTCAACTCCTAGCCTCTTTAATATGATGATACACAACAGGGTTTGGGAAAACAATGGATGGTAAAATGGGACAAAAAAGTTTCTTCAAGATTCTACCCTCCGCTGATGGCGGGTAGGGCAGGGGAGAATCAGGAAACCCCTGTGTAAACAGGCTCCTTCTGGGCCACCCTTGGAATCCCGGCTACCATTTGCAGATGTGGACCCCAAAGAGTGAACAGTTGTGTACAACGAATCAAAATGCATTCTGCTGTCATATATACCGAATTAGAATAAATCAAGAAAAAAAATAAAGGAGTGATCATTAAGCACCCAGGCTCAGAGGCTTGCTGGATGGAGTCGGTGAATTGTGCACCCTTCCTGACACCGGCACTGTCAGGCCTGGGAGTGCCTCCGAGCACGCCTTCCATCGCGAGGCCGCCGCCTCCGCGTTAAGTGCTGACCGGACCCAGGTCTACAGGTGTGGCAGCGGAGAAAGCGCTTCTGAGCCATCCCAGAGCAGCCTTCGCGGGGATGTGGACCTTCAGCTGTAGACCCACCTCAGGCTGGGTCGCTCGGGACACTGCCCCAGCCTCAGTCGGCCGGCTTGTAAACAGAGATAAATTAGTGGAGGGGCAACAATCTAAAAATACAGGCGCTGGACACAAGGGAAAACTGAAGGACAGAGACAGAAACTCGGATTCGAAAGAGGGTCGCTTATCAGAGCAGTCCTTGGGTCACGCCGGAAGGGTGGCGCTCAAGCGGCCGGCCGCCGAGGGCAGGCCGGATCGCGGAGGTTCGCGGCCACTCCAGCAGTTGGCGGGGTGATGTGCAGCCGCGAGAGGTGAGTGTGCCGGGAGCGTCCAGCAGGGCTTACCTAACTGTCCCGCCCGCAGAGGGGAAGGGGAGGCACTGCCTCCCACTGTCAGGTGCGACGGGCTGCCATTGACCCTCGCGCAGGCGCCGGACCCGGAGGTGTAGACCCAGGACCTCACAGCCAATCGCAGAAGGGAGTGGGTGGGGTCAAGAGGAAGCCCCACCCACCTGCTCGCGTTTATTCCTCCCGCGGTTTTCCAGGTGTAGAGTAGGCGGGAATCGAGGGCTTAGAGACGGAAGTAGGTTGACGTAGCCGGAAGGGGACTCCTTCTCCGGCGGTAGTGTTGATGTTTTTGCGTTGCTGCTGCTTCTGCATCTGAGGGAACCGTAGACAGAAGGATGGTGTGCGAAAAATGTGAGTTAAGGACCCGCTTCTGAGGAGGAGCAGGCCAGGAAAACCTGACTGGATTTTATTGGGAACTTGGCTGTCTGTTTTCCCACAGGGCTCCGAGTCTAACCTTTGTCCTCTTGCTGTGCCCCTCCCCAGTGTCCATTTAGTCCTATTTATTTTGTGTTCGGAGTGGTCTCTGTTCTGCACCTCTATTTCCGTTTCCTCCCCCTACCCACGAATCTCATCCATTTCAGCTTCTTGACTAGCGCCCTCAGGCTTCAAACGAACCTTCAAAATCGCTTCAGTGGCATCGGGAGTTGCAGGATACAGCAAGGAAGAATCCCGGATGCTCAGTTGACAACAACGAATGATTTTTTAGTACTATGTGCCCCGTGCAATAGTTGAGACGGCTTTGTGTGCTGTTTTTAACTTCAGTAAATGCCTTGTGCCGTGCAGTATTTAATTTAAAAATTGTTTACCTGAAATTTAAATTTAGCTGGGCATCCTCTATTTTATTTGGTAACCCACAGTCAGCATCCAGTCCAATGTCATATAAACCCTTGGCATGAATCCCTACAGCACTGGGACAGGGGAGCCGGGAAGTCTCACCATCTTCAAAGAAGACTATGTTTTTGTTTTATTACTGGAGGAGGTTACTGGGGATTATACTCAGGGGCGCTCCACCATTAAGCCCCATCCCCAGCCCTATTTTGTATTTTATTAGAGACAGGGTCTCACTGAGTTGCTTAGCGCCTCGCCATTGCTGAGGCTGGCTTTGAACTCGTGATCCTCCTGCCTCAGCCTCCTTAGCCGCTGGAATTACAGGCCGGCGCCGCCATCCCTTGCTTTTAGAAAGGTCTTTCCCCCCTGTAGTTAACCACCCATGATTCTATTGCAAACTGTTTGATATTTTTAGAAAAGATTTGATTTTTTTTAACCTTGCAATCTATTTATGTTTAAAAACAGCTTTCATATCTCCAAGTCTCTATTTCCTCAGTCTAGATATATCTGGCTCTTTTGTGACAAAGTTTCAACTCCTCTTATTATGCCATTTACTGTCTAATGAACATGATCCATTTTGTTGATATCTCCTCAGTAGGTAAAACTTGAGACATTGAAACCCATGGTTTTCAGTTTTGTATTAAAAAATGTTCTCAGATGAGCCACTTAATATTTCTTGGACTCATTTTCTCACCTGAAAAACACATAATATATGTCATTTTGTGAAAATTAAATAACTTAGACAATGTCTAATACAAAATGGTAAACTTAATATGTACTCGAAAACTGATTATTTCTATCATAACCTGTTCCTTGTGTATGTGGCATTCAGAATTAAACTGCACCATTCTGTGTGGACATAGTGGAGATAACACTTTCCTCTCTTTAGATTATATACCATTATCATCTTACATTAAAATTTAAAGCCCATACACAGTGACATATGACTGTAATCCCATCAATTTAGGAGGCTGAGGCAGGAGAATCGCAAGCTCAAAGCCAGCCTTAGCAATTTAGTGAGGCCCTAAGCAACTTAGTGATACCTTGTCTCAAAATAAAAAATAAAAGGGACTTCAGTGGTTAAGTACCCCTGGGTTCAATCCCCAACACCAAAAAAAAATTTTTTTGATAAAAATAACTGATGTAATTAATACACCATACAATTCACCCATTTAAAATGTGGTTTTTAGTATATTTGCAGAGTTGTGCGATCATTACCACAATTTTACAACATTTTCATCACCCCCTCACATCATGCTTTTTGGCATTGACACCTTTACTGCACCCTTAAGCAGTTTGGGGGTGGTTTTGTGTGTTAGATTAAATGTCTTTAGATTTTATTCCTGCTCTGGTGTCTTTTATGTTGTAGAGTTTTTAAATATTTAACTTGGGCTTTATTTGTAATTTTTGTCAGTTTTATAATTTTTACTTGAGGAGATAAGAATTCTGCCTGGTTTTACTTGTTTATAAATCTTTTTATAATGTAAGTACTTTGTCCCAAAGGAAATTAAGAGTCCTGGGAATTTATGAGAGTTACTTTCTCAAGGCATATAAAATTTTTGAGAATCCAAGATCCAGAGTGGTTATTGAAATAAAATTGATTTATTTGACTCTAGAGTATGATATGTGTTATGAAGGTCATTCCCTCTTATTACTACTTTCTACCTCTCTGCTTTTCTGAAAAGTCTAACATTCCATTGTTTTTGATCTCTCAGTCAGTTCGTTCCACTCACCCTATAAGTAAACTTAGATTTCTTTCATACATTAAACAAAACAAAACAAAACTACACTTTTCAGCTTTCCCTTTTACACTCTTAACTGTCTCTTTCCTGGTACGTTAATTTTTTTAAAGACTTGGTTTTGTTTATTGTCTTTACATTTTCAAAATTATTTCTTAGCACTTTACAAACTGACTTTCTACAAAACACTGAAAAAAGTGTTTCAGAAGTTTTCCAGTGATCTCCTTATCACCAAGTTCAAGAGCTTTTTTTTTTGGGGGGGGGGGGGGGTTGGTTCTTATTTTATTCTCCAACGTGTTTGGCTTCAAGTAGCACATCCATTCCAATGAATGTCTACTTCACATCTCCAGCCTGACTTTGCTCATTCTTATGCAGGAAGAAATAATCCTGGCTATTTTGGAGCCTCACATTCAGGACTCTTTCCAATAAAGCCCCAGCATATCTCTCCAGCCTCATATTCACTGACCCTTACCCTCTTCACACTTGAGCCAGCCAAACTACTTTCTGTGCTCGTGTGTACCCTGAACTTTCCATGCCTTTCCTTAGGATGCATCCTTTCTCTAGTTTAACTTCATCCTCTTGCTTCCTTTTTCACCATCCCATTTCCATATATTGAAACCCTCTCTGTAATATTCTCCACAAAGCATTCCTGAGCTTCCCATAATCAGTTATTTCTTCCTGCATGGAATTTCTCTTACTACTTTAGTACTTAATTTATTTTAGCTCACAATTATACTTTTTATTTTCCAGCTTATATTTTGGGTTGAAGTATTCTTAACTATTTGGAAGTCTCTGGTCCCCCTGAGACTCTGATGAAAGGTATAGACTTTTACTGGGAAAAAAAAAAAAAATAAAATATATATATATATATATATATATATATATATATATATATATATATATAAATGTATCAGTTGCAAAAATTAAAATTTAAGTCAAAATTGTAAAAAAAAAGAAAAAATACACAAAAGGTTTGTGTGTGTGTGTGTGTACCTTTTGTGTATATATTTTTTTCTAGTAAAGATCTATATCTTTCCTACACACACACACACCCCACAAACACAAACTTTACTTTGTTCATTTATCTCCTAATGTGTGCCTATGGAACTCAAATTAAGGACTGCTGTTAGAGAAACCAATGAACTTAATTAAATATAAGTTACCTGAAAGGTAGAGCTTTGTCCAATTCATGGTTTTATTTTTCTCAGCACTTTGTGTAGTGGCTTGTAGATCATAGATGCTTATTTAGTAAATGTCTATGAAATGAGTTATTTATCAGATTTCTTTAAAGTATAAATAAACAGTGAAAGTCTATTATAAACCATCTTGTTCTTGGGTGCAGTGGAGCCCACCAGTAATCCCAGTGATTCTAGAAATTCTAGTGGCTGGGGAGGCTGAGACAGGAGTATGGCGAGTTCAAAGCCAGCCTCAGCAATAGCGAGGCACTAAGCAACTCAGTGAGACCCTGTCTCTAAGTAAAATACAAAATACAGTTGGGGATGTGGTTCAGTGGTTGAGGGCCCCTGAGCTCAAAAAAAAAAAAAAGAAAAGAAAAGAAACATCTTGCTAGTCTACAAATTTCACTAAGGGTCAGTTATCTATTGGCTACAATTGATATCCTGAGTCTCAATTTACTGGCCTCTACCATTCACAGACTATACTATGACTGTTGATAACATTGTGACCCTTAGGCATGATGTAGAATATTTATTAAATAGTAAATTCTACTTTCATTTTTACTATCTTGTAACAGGTGAAAAGAAACTTGGTACTGTTATCACTCCAGATACGTGGAAAGATGGTGCAAGGAATACCACAGGTATTTTTTTCTTTTAGAAAATAGAAATTGAATCAAGTACTTCCTATGAATACGTTTTTAGCTTTTACATTATTTGTAATATGAAATGTTATGTGTTTAGTGTATTTAATCTGTTGAACACTAAAGAATACTGAGTCCCTCAATAATTTAATATCTTTTCATTTAGTTCTCTGAGTTATATGTATAGAATAATATAGTAAGCAAGAGATAGCAAAATTATTAAGTGATTTTTCAAATGATGATTTCATCTCAGTTTTGTATTTAATTTCCCCCTTTCACCTAGTTTTTAATATTTTTTAACAAATTTAAACTGTTTTCATCTTTATTATCATTAAATGCATGTAGTGAAATATATTTTCAAAGAGAAGGAAAAGAAGTACTTTCACTGTATTCAAGGTCTGTGACACCAAAGTAGAAACTTATAGATTCTGCAGTAGACAGAGAAAATGGAGAACCTTCTAAAGTACTACTTTGATTAAGAAATAAAATTATTGCATTTTATATAAGTTTTCAGTTTCCTTAATAGTTGTTTTCTTTTTAAGTAGTGTCTTAAGAACTTGGCTATTAAATAAGTATTTTAAAAATTTAGATATAGGATATTCTATTGATAAGAGGTCAAAGAATGAACTTTTAAATTAATTATTAGATTATTAGATATTATATGTAAAATGCATAGAAATAACTCACTAAAAATATGTATATTTTGATATAGAAAGTGGTGGAAGAAAGCTGAATGAAAATAAAGCTTTGACTTCAAAAAAAGCAAGG